GGAGAAGCCAAAGAACTTAATGTGTACGACCCATGGACTTGAAGCAGGGTTGGGGGGCAGGGAATGCTGGTGGGAGTGTGGGAGTACAGGGCGGAGGGGAATAAAGAGGATAAAAAAGGGGACAGTTATAATAGCATAACGATCAAATATACTTAAAAACTATAATACTGAATGTTAAAGTTTACTAGTTACATACAAATTTGCTTGTACCTCTAATAAAAGATACTTATTTATGCCAATAAATATAATAGACTGATGGATAAAGGTTTATGGACCTCCTTCCCCCACAACCCCATGAATTTAAGAACCCTTGAGAATTCACTTGCACTTTATATTTTAACCTCCAAGGCTAGAAACTACTATTTTTAGAGGGACCAAAGAAATAAGAGGCTACGATAGTATGAGGAAAAGGAACTAATATAGTTGGATTAAGAAAAAGAAGTGTAATCCCCCCTCCCCCAGAAATAGATATTCTCTTTACTGAACATATGTATTCCTAAAAACTTTATTGTGAATGAGAGTGCAGTACATTAGAGACTGGAAGACAAAAGAACAGAGTTTTCACACTGGAAAGAGCAAGAGTGATGAATTCTTCAGAGTCTTGAGGAGGGAACTCTAATTCCAATTTGCTGTGTGAGCATGAATAACTCAGCTAATTTCCCAGTCTTAGTTTACATCTGTAAGTTGCAGGAGAGGTTGTTGGCCTTTAGGATAGTCTCTTCTAGCTTTAGTAATTGAGAATGCAAAGTTAGTTGCCTTACAATTGAACATATCCTACAGGGGTGTCCAACCCACCACCACAGGCCTCATGTGGCCCACCCAGGATGGCTGTGAATGCGGCCCAACACAAAATTGTAAAATCACTCAAAACCGTGTGTGCTTTTGTTTTTTGTTTCTTGTGGGGTTTTTTTTGTTGTTGTTGTTGTTTTTTTGCTCATCAGTTTTTGTTAGTGTTTCTGTATTTGGTGTGGCCTAGAGACACCAAAGGTTGGACACTCCTGCCCAATAATCTCTGCCTAAAGGAAACTTACTTTTGAAAAATGAGGCTTAGAAACAATTCATTTTACCTTAAATGTAAGTTTAGCATATGGTACATTTTTTGTTTGCTGTTCAAATGGTAAAGAAATACTTATACTAAAAAGCAAAATTTTCCGTTGACCCCTGTCCTTCTAATCTTGCCCTTCTAGTCAGAAATAACCCAATCACCAGTTTGATGTGCGTGCTTCTAGAGTTTTTTCTATGTTTATGTTATATACATAGGAAGTTTTTGCTTATATTTTAGAAGTATGTTTTTGGGGAGCATGTGTATTTTAATAAATTATTCAGTACATATTGTTTTGCAGTTTGCGTATTCCACTTAAATTGTCTTGTGGGTCCTTCAGATTTTTAGCATATATACCAACCACATTGTTTTTTAATTGTTGCATAGTATTTTTGGTGTGAACGTATAGCTTATTAACTCTGTTCATGAATTTAGGTTAAATTTTCAATTTTGTGTCAATAATAAGCATTGCAGTAAAGAACACATTATATAGGATTATAACTTATTGAACCTTCAGTATATGACAGTGCTGTGCATTATTTCATCAAATAATCCCAAGCTTGAGATAAGTACTAATTAGCATGAAGAAATTACCCATGAGGAAACCAGTCACAGCACTGTTAAGTAACAGATTTACTCAAGCAGTGTAACTCCAGGGCTCATGCACAATTTCTGCCACAGTTTTTATTGGATTCCCCAAGAGATTCTGGCTCCTGAAAGAGTGAAAAGCCAAGATTTTAGAAGGAAGGTGTTCTAGGATTTTAGAGCTATAAGGAACTGTAGAAATCAACTGCCATAAGCCTTTGCATCTCCACTGTGACCCTGTAATTGATTGTGTAATTGATTGTCCAAACTGGGAAACTTGAGAATGAAAGAAGGCACGTTATGATAATATTTATACTGAGAGAGCAGACATATTTTTCCTGAACAAATTGAGGCACGTGGACTCTTTAACCTTAGCCTAGGCCACCATCACCCTTCACATAGGTTACTACAATAGCATCCTGCCTGCTCAAGCATTTACTCTTATTCTATTTCAGTCCATTCTCATGCAGCCACCATAATGACCTTTTAAAACAAAAACCTGATTAGATAACTTGATAGTTTAAACCCCTTCAGTGACTTGGGGGGGGGGGGGTGGAGTTTGTTTTAGTCCTCCTGTGATTATTGTTAGAATGCAGCATGAAATAAAGAGCACGTAAATATGAGTCAAGTTGTGTTTTTGAGTCTCAGATATCAACTAGTTTGGTGACCTTGGGCAAATTATTAAACTCAGATTGTTCCCTCAAATACAAAATATAGGTAGTATAGAAGAGGGATGAGGTAATAAATTTGAAAGGTACAGTATAATGGCAAGACATTGTTAATAGTTAACTTTGTGTTTACTGTGCCCTTTGAAAAATTGTCCTTGTATCTTATCACAGTATCTAGCAGGTAATGGTAGGATTTTTACAAGCTGAAACACCTTTCATGTAACTAAGTTTCACAAAGTAAAAATCTTAGTCATTTTTTAAAAAGTTCATAAAAGTTAAGTGACTTGCCAAAAGTGAAAGCTAATTACCATGTCAGTATTAAAGCTCAGGGCTATAACATTGGCATTATAGGCTAATAATCTTTCCACCAGGCTCTGCTGCCTTCCCGAAATGATTAAGAAGGTTATTTGTGTATTAGAATCACATAAATATTTTATCTGTGATTTTAATTTAAATATGTAATTCATCCTTTGTAAATTGAGAATAATTTAGAAATCATATTCATATAATTTACTGATTTATGGGATTTGGCTTACAAGTGATGGCTTGAAAAGGGAATGTATTAGATTATATAATTAAGTAGGAGGAGTATTAGGGCAACTCTCAGAATTGATGCTCCAGGGCTTTAGAGACTAGAACTGGAGCTTAAGGTAGTCAAGACTTACTATGTCTTACAGCTCTAGGTTTGGCAAACCAAGAAGAATAGGTCATCAGGGGTGTCCAACCTGTGGCCCTTGGGTCTCATGCAGCCCAGGAAGGCTGTGAATGCAGCCCAACACAAAATTGTAAATTTACTTAAAACATTATCAGATTTTTTTTGTGATTACATGTTACAATATATTTAGTGTGTCGCCCAAGACAACTTTTCTTCTTCCAGTGTGGCACCAAAGGTTGTACACCTCCCTTTCTTATGGGAAAATTTGGGAGAATTCCATTTGGCCTAGACCATATCTCACAACCATCCCTGTAGTATTAGGTTGAACCTTATGAAATTACTGTTAGTCAATCATATTTTTACCAACTAAAAAGGCCATTTCTTATGGTCTAACCTATTAATAACACAGGATGGTAGAGGGGAGAATGAAGCATCATAGATGAACACCCCTAATAGAACCTCAAAATATGTTCTAGTTCCACAAAAGGGAAGGGCTGTTGCTCTTCCTACCAGAAGAGAGAAAATGGGAAAGCATTCTGGGCAGACCAAAAAAATATTGACCATAGTGTAACACACACACAGTATGGATCAGCTAGACTTCAGCTAGACCATATAAAAATTTTTAAAGTGAGAGACTGAATTACTCTTACTAGTCCTTTTCTCGAGCACTTCAGAGTTTGACAAATCTGCCTTTTATAAAACAAACGTGGCCAAAGCTCTCAAATTATACCTCCTGTACTTTGCCGTTTTATGTTAAACATTTATTGAATGTAAACATATACTAGGTGCCTTCTTCGTAATAATCCTATTTAAAGACGAAGGAATTGAGGTTCAAAGAGATAAAATAATTTGCCTGAGATTATATAACTGTGGAACCAAATTTTAAAGTCTAAATTGAAGATTAAACCCAACGTCCTTCTATACTTATACTCCTCAAAGATTATCTTTGAAATACCTCTAAAAAATTAAAAAATAAAAATAAAACACCTCTAAAGACAGAACAGAGTACATATATGTGCCTGAGAGGTGTATAGGCATAGATGATCTTAAATATGAATATTGTTTACTGTCTATAATAATGCTTATAGCTCTGCTTTTTGAATGCTGAGAGTGTTTATTTTAACTCAAATTTTGAGTTAAATTATCTTTTTAAGAAGATATATATCATATTATCTCGGTATGAGGAAAATAGCACACTCTGCTTTTGTGTGAATGACTCACCCAGTTTATATTACTCTGGTCCAAATCATTCTTATATAAGATCTAAATTCCCTCCAGAATTTTTCTGTTTATAATACAGTCGTCAATAGCAATTCATTTTTCTGTACACATGGATTCCGATTGACCCAATAGTGTATTCTAAAGTTGCATAGCTTTGGAAGTAGTTTGTAATTGCTGTATTACAGGTACACTTTATTTAAATAGTCTTTTTCTTTTTATTGTTACATACTTAAGGCAGTTGTTAGCTATGTGCTTTATGGAGATCATACCTTCAAAGGTTGAGGCACTGGGGAAAGAAAGAATAACAAAGAGTCTTTTGCTGATTACATAGCAGTGTTTTGTGGGGCTTGGGGCTATTAATACTAAAGAATGCATTCTGGTCATTGATGCTAAAGGAGAGTGATCTGACAGGTAAAGCAAAACTGAAGTGATTTGTACTGTTATTTTATTTTCATAGAGAAGTACGATAATGATGTGGTAATTAAAAAGGATGCTTTGAATACTTTGCTCTCTTGCAAGTTTCCAAAACCCTATAAAGTGATACATTTAGGGAACATTTTGGTGGGGAGAAAAAAAACAGTTAATGTAATAGAATACATTGGAAAAATTTGACCTTGGGGAAATTTTTATTAATTTTAATTTTTGTCAGATATATTAAGTTCAAATAGCTATAAAGTGTTTTGTAGAAGTTAATCTATAATAATAATGAGGGTTTTCTACTCCCAATTTTTCTCATCTTTTAAAAGACTTAACCTGGTATGGTTCCTGTTTGTCATTAGATTCTTTCTTAATCAGTTTACTTTAAAAATATTACATATTTTTTTTATAGATGATAGTATATCTGCTGCAAGTACTTCTGATGTTCAAGATCGCCTCTCAGCGCTTGAGTTACGAGTTCAACAACAAGAAGATGAAATCACTGTGCTAAAGGCTGCTTTGGCAGATGTTTTGAGGCGTCTTGCAAGCTCTGAAGATCATGTAGCCTCAGTGAAGAAATCAGTCCCAAGTAAAGGTAATAATTGTGTTGTAAAGTAGAAAGAGTCTTGCTTTTTCCAACACTTTCTTTGCAGTAATATATAAAACTATAGTTTCTCTTTTGGATTACTTGTGATGACAGTTGGTTTTCTATTTCCTCCTTCTTTACTTTCAAGACATCCTGAAAGTTTATTAGTATTTTACATTGTAATTTTTGTGTAATACCACTAATTGTATGCATAGGCTTTTATGCCTTAGTATTTGTGTGAATTTAGTATTTCACCAGGAGCAGAAACTAAATCTTCTTTTGCATTTCACAAAGTAATTAGCATTGTATCTTGAAGATAGCAGGTAGGCACTCACATGTACTTTTTGAATCAATCTTATACAGAAGTGATAAAAATTATTATAGTTTAAATACTTCTTTCTAAGCCTTCTGTGGTAATTAGTCAAAAGAATCCTGAAGAATTTAAGCTCTGAAACTTACTGCTAACTCCACAGTACAATGGGAATTTTAATTTTCAGTCACGGAGAGGTCTCACAGGTTGAGAGAGAACATTAAGACTTTGCTACTCCAAGTTTAGAGGAAATGTACTGTGGCCTTTCCCTTTCTCAAATCACCCAGAAAGAGTTTAAAGTTCTTTCACATTAATCGAACAATTAAACATATTGTTTCATATATCTTACTGATTTCTTGGTAGAGTAGGTGGACATACACATGATTGATTATCCCCATTTTGGCAATAAGAAAAGTGAGGATATTCATTGACTTATTACCTCTCTACTGTAATATGTCAGTGCAAATTAGTAACCTAGAGAGGAGTTTTACCAGACTCCTAGTAAGTCCTTCTAAATTCTAGGCTGCATAGAAGATAATTAACCAGTACATGAGGAGCAAATTTGTTAGAAAAATTATGAATTTAGTTTCTGAATGTTGAGTTGGAGGTATATATGCTATATAGATAGATACCTTAGATAACAAAATTATAGGTCTAGTGCTGCTTTTAGTCAGGGCTAGAATAAGATTTAGGAAACATTCATCTTATGGATGACAATTGAAGCCATAGAAAGAGAATATAAAATGAGAACAAGGCTCAGGATATCTCTGTTGAGAGCTCCAGTATTTCATCATAACAAAGTTGCCAGCTGCAACAGAGATGTCAAAGAAAACAATGACTGAGGGCTGATTGTTAATTTGACATTTTTGAGATTATTAGAAACTTCTCCAAAAGCAGTTTAAATGGAATGATAGGATTGTAAATCAAATTGCAGTATTTTGAGAAGCAGCAAGTGAGGAGAACTGTGGAGTTGAGAACCCCAACTTTCAAAGAATTTGCTGAGAAGAGAAAGTGATAGTAGTTAGAAGATCCTAAATTAAAGGCCCGTTTTATTTATTTTTATTTTTAAAAATGTTATGGGCTTGAGCACAAAGATACACTGAGGACAAAAAAGCATCAGAAAGGAAAGTGGTATTAGTAGTGGAGGAAGGGTGATGGTAATTGGAGGCAGACTTGGAGAAAGGATCTTAGAGCAGGTAAGAAACTATGAGTCTTAGAAAGAAAACATCTCTTCCCATGAGATAGGATAAAAAATATACAACTAAGTGAACTTTGCTATGTATCACAGTTGTCAGGGCTGGAACTTCCCTTCCTTATCACTCTCTCCTCACGGGACAGTGCGGTCCTTTAAGAAAATAAAACAGTTCCTGGGTGCTAGAAAAAAGTTAATGCTTGGAATGGTTACAGTAGAAAATGGAAGACTATGGACATATGGAAGAAATGCTGGATAACCTTGGGAGCATTGAGGTGGGAGACTTTTGGGGGAGAGGCATTTATTCTGCCTGGTTTTGTGATTCCCGTTCTTGTACCTCCTACCCTCAAGCACACTGGGCCTAGGAGTGGGATAAAAGACTTGAGAGTTTGGCAGAAGACTTGGAAGAAACCACTTTAGCCAATAATGTTATATTGTGATTTTTTAATTTTTTGAGAACCAACTTTTATTATTGCTAGGATCATACCAGCTAAAATTGATTTTTACAAGAGGATTCTGGAATTAGAGTAGAATGAGGAGATTGGTTAATGTAGGTAAGCTTTACAGAAAAGGTAAACTTGGCATAAAGAACAAATTTCCCATCTATAATTGGTCTGTGTAACCTCAGTTTCTGACTCTGTATAATAAGTATTTTAAACTCTGTAACAGAAAATGATATGTTTGGGTTTTTTATCCATATATTTTAAAAAGCTTGTTTTAAATAGTTTATGAATCTGAAAAGATTAAAAAATGTTGATTATGGTGAAAGAGTAGTACATTGTAATCTTGTGTTGAAAATTTTTTATGTTTTCTCTTTATTTATCAAGGTATTTCAGTGAAGGAATACTTATAAGGAAATTTAAATGCTGCTTTTTAAAAATTTGGTAGATGGATGATATTTTATATGACACATCAGTTAGCACCTACGTGTTTTAGTGTTATAACATATAAATGCAATTAAGCAGCTGTAATTCCTATTTCTCAGGCACATGGCTTTTGTAAGTTGTCCTTCTTAGACTTTTTCTAGGTGTCCCTATTTGTAATTCCTTTGTCTTCAAAGTGAATTTTAGATCATTTTGTTAAAGACTCTTTAGTGGAGAGTTAGCCAGTTCTGGAACTACAGAGCCACCTACAGCTGCTACACTGGAATTTTTTCTTTTCATGCAGTACAGACTCTTTAGTTCTTATTAATAACTTTGTTAGAGAGATACTAGGTTCCTTTCCAGTAATTCTACTTCATAAGTTTACTTGGACTGCTATTAATATATGCTAACATGGTTACCAATACATTTTGAAATGGGATCCATTAGTGTTTATTCTTTTTTCTTTTTTAATCCTCACCTGAGGATATTTTTTATTATTGATTTGAGAAAGAGAGTGAAATCAATGTGAGAGAGGAACATTCGTTGCCTCCTGTATATGCCCCCACAGGGGATCAAACTCGTAACCTAGGTATGTGCTCTGACTAGGAATCAAACCCACAACCCTTTGGTGTATGAGACAACGCTCCAACCAACTGAACCACCCAGCCAAGGCTACTAGTGATTATTCTTAAAGTTACTTTGTCACTTTAGACATAGGCTTTGAATTGCTGTCTATAAAATGGATTTGATGGGGTGGGGTTAATTATATATATAGTAATTTGGGGAAATATTTTAGAGATAAGCATAATTCATTGTTGAGAATTACTCTATTTGCCTTCAGTGGAAAGTTTGGCTAACCAATTATGTTTTCCAATGTTGATATTAAAACAGTAAGAGATACATATTTAAAGTTTCCCTAACTTTATTATTGGTGATTCTAAACAGCTTTATTTTAGAGTTTATACATAATATGCTATAGAAAGTAATTGGAGCCGTGGCTGGTGTCACTCAGCTGATTGAGTGCCGGCCTCTGAACCAAAAAGGTCTCAGGTTCAGTTCCCCATCATCGCACATGCCTGGGTTGTGGGCCAGAGGTGCCCTGGCTGGTTGGGAGCTTGCGAGAGACAAGCAGTCAATATATCTCTCACACATTGATCTTTCTCTCCCTTTCTTTTCTTCCTCCCTTCCCCTCTCTCTAAGAAGTAAATAAATAAAATTTAAAAAGAAAGTAATTGGAAAACATATTAAGTGCATCTTCATTATTGGTATTTGTATATAGTCTAATAGAGGTCAACTATCAATTTTGAGTTAAACAGGATTAATATATTAATGATATGACTATTTTATGAAGTTTTCATAAAATACTTTTTTAAAAAACCAGTGAAATTATTTTGTAGGATTTTGTATTTTTTTCTTCAATTAATAAGCGAAATCATTTCTGATAGTGTGGGAAATTTTATGTGAATTTTTAAGGTCCTTAGTAAGTTAGAATTTATAATATTCACTTTTACATAAACTGCTGACAGGACAATAATCATTAAATGCAGCATCTTCTTAAGATAGTTCCATTTTCCAGAGGATTTTTCACTAGAGGTAGAACTAAACTCCTATGGATAAATAGGGTGGAATCCTTTTCAGAAGCTGTGGTTAAAAGTATAAGTCAACTTCCTTATTAATGAAGGCAACTATTGTATAGTTTTGCTAGTGGTGGTGATATGAGGGACGTAAATTAGCTTCATAGTAGAACAGACATTCTACTATGTCACTTCATAGTAGTATTGCCATTCAGTAAATGTCACAATCAGAAACACCTCTAACTGGTTATTTTAATATTTTTAGTTCTTTTAGTATCCTCTCTGGTGTGCCAGCAGTACAGTAGTCCTCCCTAATGCACAGGGGATATGTTCCAGGATGCACAGTGGGTGCCTGAAACTGCCAATAGAACCTTCTGTATTGATTTTTCCTGTACATACATACATACATACATACATACCTATGATAAAGTTTATTGTAAACATTAGTCACAGTAAGGGATTAGCAACAATGACTAATAAAATAAAAACAGTTATAACAGTGTACTGTATTAAAAGTCAGGTGAATGTGGTCTTTTTCTCTCCCAAAATATCTTACTGTACTGTGCTCACCCTTCTTGTGATGATGTGAGATGGTACAATGCCTACATGATGAGATGAAGTGAGGTATTCAGAGCGGTGTGCAACTTAAAAGTCATTTATTTCTGGAATTTTCCATTTAATATTTTTGGATCATGGTTGACTTCAGGTTACTACAGTCTTGGAAAGCAAAACTGCAGATAAGGAGAGGACTAGTAAAAGCTTAGCTTCATTTTTTTTCTTGAGCATTTAACAGGTAGAAAGTTTTCCCAGTAGTTTTTAAAGTGCCAATCATTTAAATTTCTTATATACCTTCTGTTGGAGAATTCTTTCCTTTTGACGGCATGTGTTAATATATGCACCAGTTGCAACTGAATTCCTGCCAAAAGAAAAAACAAATTACCTGTAGTTTGCAGCAAAATGGAAGGCCAGGGAACACTTTGGCAGTTTTAACTGCTGGGAAGACAAATTATGTCACAGCTGGTGCCTGGGAAACCTATTAAGACCTTTTGAGGTGACCAAATGAATGTAAT